ACCTCTCCTATCATTACACTTTGTGAAATTTAAAATTTCAGGAGCAGGTCCGAGAGGGTTGCCAGGTCTTCCTGGCCGAGATGGAGATGAGGGCAAGCCAGGTGCTCCCGGTGAGCCTGGTGATTCGGGGTTACCCGGCCCTCCAGGTATCGGTTAATTTTCATAACCTAGCAAGACAGTTGTTTTTTACGCGTTTTTGTATAGATGCAAATGTAACAAAGACGCATATTGTGATGAACTTGGTGTGTGTGTGTGTCAGTCCGTCCGGATATTTCAATTCGGCAAACGAGCAAGCTTCGGCATTGAAATTTCGCCAGTGGTTTCCTTGGCCATGCTAAGTGCTACTGCAGGACCGCGGTACCAAGCCTAACGCACGTCTGAGCCTCGCGTACGAGCACGTACAATAAGCAGTCGTAGAAATGATTAACAGGATTGTTGCATTCCCGTCTCGGTCATTTCTACGACTCCCTGTTTCACTTGATTTCACCTGGGACTCAGCCGTGGGGATGGGTGGAAGAGAAGTGACTACTAATAACCCGAGTATGATAAGTTGGGGCGTGGAGAGATTAGATGACCATCACAAGCCAGTCATAAATTCTGTTCGAAAAACGAATGATCGTTGTGTTGGAAATGAATATTATGCACAGCTAATGAGGCAAATTGGTCTTTTCAAGATGCCTTTTCACTAAAAATAATTTTTTATTTTTAATTCAAAACTCTGTAATTGGAGGCTTTTAATAAAAAATAACATAGAACAGTGCTTTAAAAAGCATTTCTTCCGGCGAACATTGAAATCGGATGTGCTCAGCATATATACAAGGGATGTTTCTGGTGCACTCTCTCCTCAAAGATAACCTCCCAGTGCAACTATCGGTTCAGGAAAAGTATCATATCGAATTCGAATAACTTCAAAAACTGCTCTAAATTATCCATTTTTTGAGACATTTTTTTTGTCGCATGGTTTCTTTTTCAACAAAATTAAGCGACACAGATTTATGTTCACTGTCTGCGGATCCTTTGAATCGTGACGTGTTTCAAGCATTATGCTGCACATTTGTCGCCCAGGAATTTCAGCTTTTAGATGTGCTTTTCATTGTTATTTCAAATGTACGTGCAAGAGATTCAAGTATGTATTCGCTGCTTATTCGTTCTTTCTTTCTTTTTTATTTATCCGTGCTGTGTATTGTTTATCTTTTGCGTTAACTTAGTGAAAAATTGCTTTTTTTTCAAAAAAGGGCTATCAGCCCCCGTTATCGGGCTGGACGGCCCCTCGCGCAGCAGCAGCTTCATCGGCTCATCATCATCGTCGTTAGGAGAAGTCCCATCTGTCTGGTAAACAACCGGCGGGGATGATGTCACCGACGGGCGATGGGGTGGCTGGAGGACGGCTCCTCTTTCGCAATATGCTCGGTTGTCTATGGGCCCTACCTTCCCGCCAAAAAGGGGTAGGGGAGAGAAACGATTGCGAAACTGTGAAAAGTGCTGCTAGACTCGGGGCGAGGGGGGGGGGGCAGGGTGGGGGCTCGTATAATCAGACAAAAGGAAGAGGGGGAGGGGGGAAGGCAGTCTTTTTTATGGTTCTTTTACGTTTCTGCGCACTTTCGGAAT